TGAGATATTCTGTCATACTTTCTATTACCATAAACATACATCAAACAGGTATTTTGGACTTTTTGAATTTTGCGTTCTTTAGTTCCATTTAAGCAACGTCCGTAAACACTATCGCAGTAATTAAAATGACTAAGCACTAGTTTTTTTAGGAAAAATATGTTGATTAGAATATAACATTTTAAGGTTAGAATAGGCTAAATACTTGTTCACTGGAGATTTAAAATACTCCTCTTAAGTTAAATAAATCTATATTAGCTAAAACTCTCTCTAAAGCAATGAATTCGTCTAAGATCTCAATATTAATATCACCACCCAAAAATATGTCATTTCCTATCAGAATCAGTTGAGATAAAGTATCTTCAAGAGTCTCCAAAAACTCAGTTATATTCTTACCCGCAGGTCTATATATAACACCAAAAATATACCAGTTTCTATTTATCAGAACTTTAATCCAAAGATGCTCATCAGAAATATTACTAATAGGTAAAATTTCATATGTTAGTGTCGAGTTTAAATAAATAGCTAAACCCCTTCCTCTTGTTCCCCTATCTTGCCTTATTTAATTATATCCATCAATTTTTATAAATTCATTAGAAATATCATGTTTTAACCATGTTTTAGAAAGACCCGTTAAATTAAATCAGAGTTTTTTTAAATACAGAAATTTTTAAGTTAAAGACCTGGCGTTATAGAAAGCAAGTGAAATATATTTCATATATATTACAAAATACAGAGTAAAAAAACAGAAGAACTTATAAAAAAAAGAGGATTTTAGATAGTTAATAATGTTGTTAAGAGAAATATCAAATAGTTTGTTTATGTTGTTTGGGATGTTGTGAGCATTTCGACTGATTTGATATTTTGGACATTCGATTAAAAAATGATTTACGCTGTTGACGACACTACACTCTTCACATATTGGTGGGTTACTATTAGAAAATAGGCAGAAGTGTGTAAATCTTGTATGACCTAGCCGCAAACGGGTGATAATTATTTGCACTCGCCTGTTTAAAGTCGAATATTGCCAAGGTGTAATATCATTTTTAATTTGTTTCAATTTAGACCGACTATGTTGCCACTCACGAGACCACATACACAATATTTTCTATTTGAAGAACGATTTCAGACCGTTCGCGACACTGTGAGACACTATTTCCGACACTTTACTCGTTATTGCATTACGCGCACACTGATCTGCTGTCTCGTTGCCTTTAATTCCGATGTGGGAGGGTATCCATATGATGTGTATGCATCTTGAGTGTTCTTGAGCCTGTAGTAGTTAGGACTCTATCATTTTTTTAATGGGAGTTTTCGGGTATATATGTTGCACTAAGACAGTCTGAGAGTATTAATCTTTTGGAAATATTTGATCTATTTAAATGCTGAAAAGATTTGTAGATAGCGAAGAGTTCAGCGGTAAAAATGCTAGAGATTGACGGAAGTTTGAAAAAGAATTTATCCTGAGGTGTTACAAATGCTGCCCCAACACCAGCGTCATCTTTAGAAGCATCAGTAAAAAACTTTTGATAGTCCTGATATTTGTCTAAAATATTAATAATAATAATAATAATAATAATAATAATAATAATAATAATAATAATAATAATAATAATAATAATATTAATAATAATAATAATAATAATAATAATAATAATAATAATAATAATAATAATAATAATAATAATAATAATAATAATAATATTTATTGTCCTTTGAAGCCATATCTACAAAATATAAATAAGGTAAGTCATACATAAATAAATAAATAAAATGAACAAAGTAATGCAAAAATAAAAAAATATAAAAATATAAAAATCTCATATATCAGCTAAGCAACCGTTATACTGTAGGAACTCATCTAATGAATAGAAAACATTAACTGTTAATAGCTGCTTAAGATCTTTCTGGAAGCCTTGTAGGGTTTGATTATTTTTTATGTTTGATGGCAGTTTGTTAAAGAGGTAAGAACCGGCGTAGTATGGTGATTTTTTGTAGCTGGTATGGTAATGTTGTTTTATATATATATATTTTCAGCATTTCTGGTATTATACCCATGTATATCTTTTTTCATTATGAGATTTCTTATTTTATTAAAAGTAAAAGACAATAATTTATAGAGGTGTATTGCAGTAACAGTAAGAATTTTATTATTTTAAATATTTTTAAATATTTCTCGACAATTATCCCTGTAACCCAAACTAAAAATTAAGGTTGCCTTTTATAAAACTTGAGGGAATTTCATGTTTATTATATTGGCAGAGGTCCGTGTTGGTTTGAGGAGTTTTAATGATCCAGGGAGGAGGATGGTCAAGATCGAATGGAAAGACTTCTGGAAAGTCAATCTCTAGGTGACTAAGATAACTTCGAATTCGCTCATAATTAGGTTTAAATGTGTGTGGCTTATTGCTAAAGTAATTGATAAATTTTTTAGTGAACCTATTATCGAAAAGTGGCTTATTTCTATTAGTGGCTATCGAAATAGCATGTGATAATGCTAGATACATTCTCCGGTAGTGCAGGGATAGTTTTCCAGTTTTACAGTAGATACTTTCAATAGGGGAAGTGCCAAGGGCTCCCAGAGCAATACAAAGAGCAGCATTGTGTACAGTACCTAACAGTTTCAAAGTGGTTTTGCTGGCTGATCCATATGCAATAGACGGTTTAGTGTAAATTGATCGAAAACAATTGTTCGAAAGAAAATTGCTCGAAATCAATTGCTCGAAAAATTGTTCCTCGAATGGACAATTCCTCGAATGCCTAGTTACTCGAATAACAATATCTCGAAAAGACAATTCCTTGAAATAAGAAAATAAGTTACTAAAATAAATGTACACAAATACAAAATAATTAAATGTGCCTTTAACGAGTACAGTTAAATATTTTACCGAGTACTATCTTCAAATAATCTTCTCATTAGTCAATCTTTGATCCCATTAAAGTTTTATAAATGGTTAGTAAGGCATGATAGTCTGAGCCCCAGTTTCTATTTGCCAGAGTCTTTATTATATTTAGTCTCTTATGACAGCAAAGGGTGAAATGTTTTGTGTTCTTTCCAGGATAGCTTTTGGTTGAACCACATTCCCAATAACTTTACTGATGGTTTGAAAGATATATTTTGGTTAAATAACTGTAAACCTGAAAAGATAATACAAGTTTTCTTGGAGAATACAATTCCAACTCACGGAAAACAAAATCCTGTATCAAGAGACCATTGTTCCAATTTCATCAAAAAGTTTTGCAGAAAAGTTGACATGTTATCCACATTTTTTTTCTTTAATATAGATAACCAGGTCATCAGCATATAAGCGTGATTTTAAAGGTGTTGTTAAGCTTTTTATTATATCATTTATAGCGACCAGAAACAGTGTAGGAGTAATTATTGACCCTTGTGGAGTTCCATTGTCTTCGTTTTGATTTTCCGAAAAGGAATTATTTACTCTTACACGAAATGATCTATCTTTCAGAAATTTTTTGATAAAAGCAAGAAAGTTGCCACGAACATTCCACGAGTGAAGTTTTCTTAGAATGTTAAATCTCCAGCAGGTGTTTTAGCAGGCTCTTTTAATGTAAAAAAATATTGCTATACAAAACTGTTTTGTTGCTAGAGATTCGTGAATTTCGCTTTCTAGATCCAAAATATTATCGATCTCAGATCGGTTTTGTCTAAAACCGTTTGGCTCGGAGATTAAGTGGCTAGAATTTTCCAAAGTCCACATGAGTCTATGGTTGATTATTTTTTCTAGTAGCTTACTCATGGAGCACGTTAAACTTATGGGTCTGTAAGATTCAGGTTCTAAACGAGTTTTCTGATTTTTTTAGAGGAAGGTCAATAGCTTTAGACCATAGACATGGAAAAAGGTGTTGGTGCCATATTAAATTAAATAGTTGGAGAAGATTTGTTTTTGCAGAATGGGAAAAATGTTTTAAAAATATTACTGGAATATCGTCTGGTCCGGGGCTGGTATTTTTAAGATCTAGGAGAGAATTACTTAATTCAGATATAGTAAGAGGGAGGTTTAAAGGAATATCATCATCATTATTATTCTGGTCTAAAAAGAGGTCTCTGTTTTCGGTGACTAATTTGTTATTGAGAAATTCTAAATTGACATTTTTTTATAATTTGTGGCTAAGATGTTTGTTATCTCTGGTGGATAAGTTATTACCCTATCATTAACTTTTAAACTAGACAATTTTGGAGTGTATTTTATGCCTGAGATTTTTCTGATTCTTTTCCAGACTTCAGTAATAGGAGTTGAGCTGTTTATTTCTGAGACATACTGAGTCCAGGATGTCCTTTTTGTTTTATTGATTGTAAGGTGGCTAGAATTATTTTAAATTAAAATAGGGTGATGGTCGCTACTAAGTATATTGGAGAATTTGCCAGGATAACCGTGATGTTAAGGTAGAATCACAAAAGCTTAGGTCAATTGCTGATGATTCTCCAGTATTTATGTTAAACCTAGTTTGTGATCCATCATTAAGAAAATTCAATTGGCAATGTGAGATAAGTTTTTCTATTGTTTTCCCTCTGACATCAGTAGACGAGGAGCCCCAGACTATATTGTGCGCGTTGAAATATCCTATAATTACGTGGGGTATTTGGTCTATAAGGCCTTTTAAATCATTAAACGTTGCTGAAGAACTTAAGGAAAGGTAAATATTACAGATATAGTACAGTGTAGTAAATGCAGAGATTTCGACAACAATGACTTAAAGATTGCTGGTAACAGTAAATATCTTTGCTTCGAGCGAATTTTTGATCAATGTAGCTACGCCTCCGGAAAAAAAATTTCCATTGGTTGTTCTGTCTCTTCGAAATCAATGATAGCGCTTTGAATTATAATTTTTCTGTGGATTTAGATTGGTTTTTTGAATGCAGATTATGTCAGGTAAATGTTCGATATGAGGATTTATAACATTGCAAGTCGATGAAAGAATCCATCGATATTCCACTAAAATAATGTTTTAAATTCTGTTAAATATTAAATATTAATTAGATGTTAGTATCTTTCTTGACTTAGATGTGATGTGTCACTATTTGATTCCGGGACGTCATTGCCAAGATAGGCAAAGATTTTTCGTTTTAAAGTTGTGAATTTCCTCTTCAGGGATGGATCTTTTATATGCGGGTAGATTTTTGATAATACATGTGTCACGGCTATCATATCTGAAGTGTTTTCTTGGACAACGTTGATAGAATCTGAAAGACCAGTTATATTAGTTAAAAGTAACTGAAGTTGGTCATAATTAAGTATAAGAGAAGAAGAGTGGTTAATGATAAAGTCTTTGGCTGGCTCCACTCGATGTAGATTGGTATTACTCGAGAGAACTGTTGGAGGTGTAGAGTTGGACTTCGTTTTTTTAGAGTTAGGTTTTATCTTAGGAAGGGTGAAGATGCTGTTTACCTTGTGAATTATATTCGTGTCTGGTGAAAGAATTTTTTTTAATGGTGAACTTTGCTCCATAGGTAATGGTTGAGTGATGGCTTCTTGTGTTGAGTTTTCTGCGGTTGCTGATTGCTAAATATTCGCTGAAACGGTCGTTGATTGAATAGATAAGGGTAGGATATTGGTTTGCGGTGTTAGAGTGTGAGAAGGTATCTTTATATTAGCCGAGACAATCGGCATACTGGATACAGACGATACAGTTGTAGTAGTTTGTGGTATTGTGTTTGTTTGAGTGGATGACGATACATTTATGGATTCGGGACACTGGGATATGATATGTCCAGGTTTTTTACAATTGTAGAAAATCATACCATTTTGAGACAGAAATATTCGATATGTGGTGTCATCAAAGTATAGCGTGAATAAATCAGGTAGAGAAAAATTATGTGGACTCACGTAGACTTGTCTTCTAAAACTTATGTATGTGACTATATTCAGGTAGAGAAGAGCTAATTTTTAAAAAAGTTACAAGTGAAACTGGATTTAAACCAACTTTCTGTAATTCTTATTTTATTAAATTGTGCGGTATAGTGGGGCAAACACTTGACAGAACGAGTCTTACAGCCGGTGTTATAAGTCTTCTAGCTCTAAATGTTTCACCTTTTATCTCAATATAATTGCTATTATCCATGAATTCGTCAACAATCTGCTTGTTTGTCAAGTACACTTAAATCCGTTTGTTGGATAATCGCGAAAAGAATATGATATTTTTTGGTTGGATTTGGGATCCAAAAGGAATTAGGTAATCTTGCAGGCGAGTATTGTCTAGAGAAATAAAACCAATAGCTTGTTCTTTGGACATGAATTGAGTCTGTAACACAGCTAAAGAATACGTTTTTGAAACATTAGATTGGCTTTGAGTTTGGAAAGATATTTGAGAATTACTGTTAGATTCCATAATAATTTAAAGATTTCAAATACCTAATGATTTGGATACGTCCCTGGCAGTGCTGGCATGTGGTCAGCACCACGAAAGAAACTGCTTACTGATAACTACTATGTTATTATTTGTAAATTTAATTAATTAACGTATATTCGCTAAAATGAATTAGAAATTAATCACAATATGCACTTAGAGTTTTAAGAATGTGCACACGTAATTTCAAGAAAAAAGATTCTCTATATCCGCACTTAATAACTAAAAATATGTGGAGGCCACGATAAACATTGTTTCCATATTTTTATTTAGGGTCGAACTCCAAAAAAAAAAAATTAATTACATTCATAAAAAGCAAACAGTAAAAATACCTATTATTTATAAACTTTAAAATAAGAATAATAATACCCGCCCATGTTAACATAGTACACATAAAAACAAAATCAGATAAAAGATCAAAACAACGACACTTTAATTTTCTGGTAAAAGTAAAAGTACCTGTACCGTATCGATAAAATATTCTAATTTATGACGAAAAATCAGTAGAATTTTGGAGACGCTTTCTTTGTCCATTAACTGTTGCGTAACTATCTCCATTATAGTTTATATAAATAAATAGACGACTTAACTAAATCTTCTTTTGGAGAAAGTGTACTGTTCTTTAACATTTTTTCTTCATAAATATTAAGTTACGTAGTTTATACGAGATGAAACGAATTAGTATTGCTCTAGGGCGATCATTGGTGCCCCATTTGCCAAATCGGAAGCAAAGATCAACGTCTGACATATTTATTGTTATATTCAATGTTTTATTAAATAGTTTTGCAATAGTTTCTTTAAGATCACTTCCTTTCTCTTCGTCCAGTTCTGCCAATCCGTAAAGAATAAGATTATTTTGTTTATAATGTTTTTCTAGTCACTAACTTGACCAAACAGGGCTTGAATATTTTCTTCAAAAGTTTTGAATTTTTTATCTAATTGTTGGCTTATCATATTTGTTTGCTCTGTGCAAGTTCTAATAATTAAATCTTCCATAGAATTATCTTGATTTGAGTTATTTCGTGTGGTCGGCATAGTAGACACTGACTTATCAACGTGTTTAATAATTTTAAAATGGTTACCTTGTCACAGAAGAATGTTTTTTGAAGAATATTTTCAAATAACGATTTATAGGATTGTGTACCATCAACTGCACTTACTAGCCACTGTAACTCACTGAATACACTTCAGTAAATAATTAATAATTAAATTTTTCCCAGTAAAAATTTACTAAATCTTGGGAGATCGCAACAACACGTGTTACTCACACATAAGCGTACTATACAGGGTGTACCAATAAAAACTCCCAGGCCAGATATTTTGGTAAGTAATAGATATATTTTAATTTTGTAGAAGCCAGTTCATAGAACACTAAGAGAGCTTCAGTTTTAGATATAAATTAATTTTGAATAGGTCAATATGTAGATGGCGCTGCGCTCAATATATTTTTTTCGATGGGAGGATCTTTCTTATATAATGCATCTTGTAAAAAATGCATTTTTAAGCAGATTTTGTTTTATAAACTAATTTGATAAATCTAGCTATTTTTAATATACAGAGTGGGTCACTCAAAATAGTTTTATCCTGTTTTTCAGCATTAATCATTGGATTTTTACAAAATGGTAAAACAATTCGATTTTTATTCCTAATTGAACACATTTTTACAATACAGACATCTGTCATGTGTAAACCCCCTCCCTTCTACTTCTCCAACCCCTTAATTTTAAATAAGGAATGTATCATGTACGGCACATCATTAAGAAGGTAATTTTATGGGGAAGTCCGAAATATAATTGTTTGTTGCGATTTTTTAAATTTTAGCGCCCTCTATCGGGATAAAACACCTGTAATGTATTATTAAGTGTGACACTTCATTTGAAAGCTAATTTAATTACTAATTTAATGCACCACATAACATTCATATAAATATTTTCGAATTGCACTTGCAACAAAATAAAGTTAGCAATAATGTTTAAAATAATGCATAAATAATTTTTAAACTATTGCAAGTGCAATATGGAGGATATTTATATTAATGTTATGTGGTACATTGAATAAGCAATTAAATTTGCTTTCAAATAAAGTGTCATACTTTATAATACGTACAGTTTTTTTATCCCGATAGAGGGCGGTACAATTAAAAGTATTGCAATGAACAGTCATATTTTTAAATTCCTATAAAAATACCTTTTTAATGATATACTACACATTGTAGTGTCACACTCTATAATACGTAGTAGTTTTTTATCCCGCTAGAGGGCGATAAAATTTAAGTAACGCAATATACAGAAATATTTCTGAATTCTCCATTAAATTACCTTTTCAATGATGTGCCATACATGGTACATTACCTATTTAAAATTAAGGTGATGGAGAAGTACAAGGGAGGGGGTTGACACGTGACAGATGTCTGTATTGTAAAAATGTTTTTAATTTGGAATAAAAATGGACCTGTCTTAGCATTTTCTTAAAATCCAATGATTAATGCTGAAAAACAGAATGAAACTGTTTTGAGTGACCCACTCTGTATATCAAAAATGGCGAAATTTATCGAATTAGTTCATAGAACAAAATCTGCTTAAAAATGCATTTTTTACAAGATGCGTTATATAAGAAAGATCCTCCCATCGAAAAAAATATATTGAGCGCAGCGACATCTACATATTGATCTATTTAAAATTAATTTACATCTAAAACTGAAGCTCTCTTAGCGCTCTATGGACTGGCTTTTACAGAATTAAAATATCTCATTACTTACCTAAATATTCGGCCTGGGAGTTTTTATTGGTACACCCTGTATATGAAAAATCGTTATTAGACATCTGAATCTTGAATTCGTGGTTTTCATCTCATCTTAGAAGTATACGAAAAAAATTTTGCAAAAATTTGTTACAACGTTATAATATTTAATTTTTTGAGTTCCCACATATTTCTTATGGTTAATTGCGGCAACACAACATATATATACACTCAACAAACTCGTTTCAAAAACACCGAACATTAACCGGAGCTCTCCAAACTAAAACAAAACAACAGCTATATTACAGCCACAACACTTGTGTGTAAATTTTCAGCTAATTATATATTTTTGAAGTCCTTGAACCGTCTCTCAAAATTCTCCACTTGAAAAGAGTTAACTTCAACTTTAAATTAATTGAGCCAGGGATGTAATAACGGTTGTTGTCTAGGTACAAAAAAAACTTTAATGGCTTTTTTCGTTTAAATGTTTAAGTAAACTCGAGAATATAGGGTAATATTAAATGTATTGCTATAAATACTAAAATAATAATAATGAATATTTTCTTTTTTTTTTCAGAAATGGAATCGATAGAGCACATACAGAACAAGTAAGTTACAAAACAAATATTAAACAAGTTAAAAATTTCAGTTGAGTACTCAACTGAGTGGAATCACTGATTAAGAGGGCATCTCCTTAGGTTAGTAATGTACATGGCGAAACTGCTTATTTTTTCGTATTTCATGTTTATTTTAAAAAGTTTTATATACAACCAAAATACAAATATAAATATGGCTTAGTTAGGAATTTTATATTATATTTCTCTCAATTCGGTTTGTACAAAGAACGCTGTATCATTTTTAAAACTATGTTTAACAATAACCGAATACAATATGGTTAGGATTTTATACTAATATTATATTGTAACAGACTATTAGCAAACTGCACTCATATAAACAGTAGCAAATCTAATTTTTAATCCATAACTTGAATTTAAAAGTGTCAAAAGAACTATAAAAAAATTCTTACCCTCACCGCTAGAGAGTTAGTCGGCGCTTCTAGCTTTACTAAGAATAAAAGCAGCGTCCATTTTCTAATAAAATTTGTTGTATGTATGACCTTGATGAATGAACTATATTGTGCGGCGTAGATAAAGAGAGCCTGTTCCCGTATTTCATAATTTGTAACTTTATTGACAGTTGCTCGAATGGTCGTACAGAAACAGTATATTAATTTGAGATTTATAAATGATAAAGTATACGCATATTATAATTAATGACTCAAATGACTTACCTGAAGTTAGTGAAAATAAAATAACCATGTAGTATACCTATGTTGCGCCGCTGACACACATGTTCGGATTAAAAATTTTACGTTACTCTCTATCACTGCCTGTGTAGATTACTCATTACCTATTGTGGAGCCTAGGAGTTTGGGGTTAAAAATAATATAAATATGGTGGAGGTGGGACTTTATTTCCACTAACAAGGATGCTCTCGTAATTAGGATCAAACTTTCTTCAGGTAAGTCGTTTGATCCATTAATTATGCTTCACATCCTTGTTAGTGAACCATATAGTTGTTTAGAGGATGTTCTATTCAAAATAAAACTATATTTTTGCTTTCTACGTATATGTATACAAGAGAATATGCAAAAAAAATATTACTATAAATTTCCCACAAAATTAACAATAATAAAAAATAATAATACTAATGAATTAATCATTAAAAAACGTAACAAAAAATAATATTGAATTTTAACAATCCAATTTTATAATTTTTTAATACTTTTGCGAACGTTGGTTTTACGTCTTAATTGTAAAACTTGTCTCTTTGTCCTACAATTTTTCTAATGGTTTCGATATTGACCCAGATTATGAGGACGGTCGAGGTACTAAGTGCTTGAGCTACCCACCCAATATTTTGGGGAGATACTAGATGGACTGAAGCGTGAGTGGTTAGAATAAAAGGTCCTGAAGACTTGTGAGACTTTGTTTTTTTCCTTTTTCCCCATAAAATAAAAATTGTTTTTGCCGAGCATTAATTGAGGTAATTCGTGGGAGAATAAAAATACTAATAAATGCTGGGCTCGTTGTGGAGTCAAAGTTTGAGCATTTCGTCAATGAAAATTTGTGTATTGTTAGCTTCCACATTGACATTTTTGAGAAAGTCTATACCCGTTGGGCTGCATGCATAATATGTTTGGCTCTTAGCTGTTTTAAGTTTTTTAGGTGAAATAAAATATTGAAGTATTTTAAAACTGTGTTTTGGTCTCAAGTTTGAATACATTTTGTCAAGACAGGATGACCCTTTTAGAAATTTCCTAGTATACATTTTCTTTTATTATTCAGAATTTCTATAATGAAAGTTGGGGACTATTTATAATGAGAGCTAGGGCAGAACTCTGGTTATAAGGAGTTCTAAATGAAGGTTTGCCGCAGTGAATAACTAGGTTTAATGTTGACATGTACCGTAAAAAGCATTTATTTATTTATTTATTTTATTTGTAACAGGACGGTTGAGTTTCCCATTTTGGTACAATCACTATGCCTTCTGCTTGGTCTTTCTAATTTTAGTACTTATACAAGAAATGCATCAGCTACGTAACAATCGAGTTATCGCATACTTTAGATAGAACACTTTTTTTATGAGTCATACAGATTGTAATTACCCGTTGTATTACAATTTTTGAGACATTCATCACTAGATTAAGATGTAATTAGAAAATCATTAAGTTTGTTTTCAAACGCCTTAGTTGATGTACTACCGGTTTGAAAAAACATATGGAGCGAATGGTCAAACCAAATGTAAGACACTCAAATTCGTAAGTTTTTTTTTTAAGTACTTCCCCGATTTTTTTATGTATTGAGATGAGATAAGAGATATTTTAAGATGCCCGCAAGCCATCATCGTTGCTTTCAGACGTTGAAGAGAACATACTGTGCACAGTGGGTCTCTTTTCATATTTTTCCTTTAATGTTTGGAAATATTTCAAATCTTTACCTATTTTATCAGGATGATATCTTCTTAGATGATCTTCCAGCTTTGATGATTTCATAGAGTCATTGCTCAAAACTTTTTTGCATAAAAGGCATGTGGGCAATCGTTTGTCTGCGTTTGATGAAATTTTAAATATTCAACACTGTACTGACGACACTCCTTCTTAGATTCGGCCATGTTTTGGATCAATTACCTACCTGTAAATGTGTAAGTAAGTAAATAAAAAAAAAACTTTGTTTTAGTAATCTTAAGGTGATTTGAACTTAACAGGATATGGCTATTTTAACATAATATGATTA